AGACGAGTTCAAACAGGCGCACCACTTATCCATCCTACACTCATCAACATCTCGACGCACGGTAGACCATGCTGGCACGCCTGCGCACAACCGCACCGCACCCAAAAGCAAGAAGCAGCGTGTCAACGCATATCCCCTCGGCCCGGAACTCCAGGCCGTGAGATTTGCGCGGGAGACACAAATAAAATGATTTGGGTTATTCACAGCAATGGTCCCTCAAATATACCCGTAGTTACACTTTGGTCCCTCAGTTCAATTATTAGTTGCAGGGGTCACTCAAGTAGGTGTTATGTTGCACCAGTAGTCCTTCCGTCAAGTCTCTCTAACGTGGCGTCAATAACAAGGGCAAATTTGTCTTTTCAAGTCTACAATGTCCACCAACCCATCTAAAGTAACTTCCCTCCGAAAAATGTCGAATCTGGCGCCAAATAAATCCCCAATTCCCATTTATATTCGATGAAATCCACATGAAAACAGTAGATGTGTTGAAATTTTTGGAAATTCAAAGGAAATCTGGCGAAGCCCACACAGTACATGTGCAAAGATTTCGTAGATTTCCTCTTCATCAACAAATCAGAGCCCTAGTGCAAGGAAGCTATGCAGGTGCGGGGGATATATCAAAACCTGGACCTCATGGACTAATTTAAATCCTGGGAGAAGATTTGAGGCTTGTGAGATGAGTCGAGTAAGTGGATCTGTGAAATTTGATTTTATTGCTTGATGGGTTTAGCTTTGATGTTAGAAAACATACTTTGCAAAGAAACATAGGAAATGGGTATCATTGGGAGTGGCTGGATGCAACGACCTATGCAAGAGGAAAAGAACTAATTCCTGGGTTGCCGAGAAGAATGAGAGCAATGGAAGAGGACCTAAAGTTAATAGAAGAACAGAAGAAAGAAGTGGAAGATAAGCTGAAAATGGTGGAGATAGAAAAGAGTATTGGAAGAGAACATAATGGGCCAACGACCAAGAGAGAATTGGATTTAGGGGGTTTCATTTCTGTCATTGGGTCTTGGGTTTTTTTGGTGATTATGATGATGCTCTCTATCTTGAGCAATTGGTTGACATTTCCTATTGGAAACTCTAAAAAGCTTATGATCAATTAGGTGGAAATGTAACCGATATGTAGTTCATTTTGCAATGAAATTTCAGTTTGAGTTTGGTGGACATATTGGTGTTGGTGTAATCAATTTGTTTCCATTTTGTTGATGAGAGGGCATGAGTGGATAATTGTGATATGAACAAATATAGAAAAGCTGGACAAAATAGTAGTGGGTGTCGATCAAGAGGTGTGAGAAATATAAAACAATTTCTTCAGCGTATATAACAACCAGTTACAGGTTCCAAAATGGACCAAATCAAGTTCCAAGTGAAACACAAGCATAAAGATAGATGAACATAAACACCCAGTTCAGGTTCCAAAATGTACCACTTACCAAACATGCACACTAAGTTGCAGCCCAAAGACTCAAAAACCACATCCAACAAACCATTCATAACTAACATGTTGACAAAACACATCCAACTAGTTCAAAAAACATATCCATCTAGTTCAAAAAACACATCCTCCTAGTTTTCTTCATCACATCCATGGTCTAAGCTTCTTGGTAGGAGACTTGAATCTCTTAGCAGGAGACTTCGATGGTTGTGATGCAACCTCAGCAATGTTGGGTGATTGTGATGATGATGATGTAGCTCCAGTGTAAGAGAGTGGCTGTGATGATGGGAGTGGTTGTCATGACGATGGCATTTGTGTTGTCCCATTTCCAACCTAAAATAAAATGGAACCATATTAACTAACCAAAGTACATGAATTAAATTTGAACCATATTAACCAACCAAAGTAGTATGATAGAGTTGTCACTTACAGAGCATCCTCCATTTCTAGTTCCAATTGGCATTTGTCCTCTCCCATTTCCTCTCCCTCTTCCTGTAGTAGTACCTCTACCTCTCCCTCTAGTTGGGTTAGGGTGATTAGGCTGGGCCTAAAAAACAAAAAAATAAATAAATAAATAAACTAAACGATAACAAAAAGCAGGATAAAATGTTCCTTAATTAGGCCTAAAGAACAAAAAGAAATTAGGAAGGGCCTAAATACCTGAGCCGCTCCTTGGACTGTAGAAGAGCCAAATGTTCCTTGGTTGGGCTGATTAGGAAGGGCCTACAATAACAAAAACAAAAAACTAATTAAAGTAAATAATAACAAAAGGAAATTAAACAGTCAGAAAATATAACCCAAATACCTGTGCTGCCCCTTGGTTGGCATGCTGTGTCATATTATGTCCCTCCTGGCCACAAACAGAGCATCTTACCTTTACATAAATCCTTCTCAACTTAGTAGGTGGTGGATTGTAAAATGGGGGCAAAGGGTTTGGAGGAACTAGAGCAGGTACTTCGACCTCAGCTGGTTCTTTGTTCCTTGATTTCTTGGGTCTTCCAGGTTGCTTCTTATATGGAGGAGGTTTAATTGGAGGCCAATTTGTTCTCTGCCACTGGTCCATGGATGGTATTGGATGTACCATAGGTTCATATGAACTCAGATAGGCTTCTTTCTTATAACAGTCATGTGCATAGTCAAACACATTGGCCTCCTTTTGAAATATACAAGAAATAGCATGAGAACATGGGATCCCACACAAATCCCATCTTCTACAAGAACAAGTCTTGGCTTTTAGATCCACTACATACTCTCCCCCATACATATGGCTCACTTGGTATTTGCTCTCACCTGCTAATCTAGGAATGCATTGACTAGCTCCCAACTTGTTCTTCTCAATGATCTTGAAAATCCTAGGCCCAACTGGATGTCTCCAAACCGTACAAGCAATCCTTCTATTAGCCATTCTTAACATGATATAAACTCTAATCCTTTCAAGACATGTTAAGATAGACTTGTCTCTTGAATCTAAAATGCAAGAGTTAAAGGATTCACAGAGGTTGTTCAACAACAGATCACACTTAGAATCCAGCTCAAAATGAGATCGACTCCAATTTTTGGCTGGTCTTTTGATAAGCCACTTCCACGCCCCTTCATCTTGCTGTTTCATCTTCTCCATTTCTGCTTCATACCAGGGAATGGTAGTTGCTCTTGCCGCAGCCCAGAGAATGTTTTTCAGTGCAAGTCCAGCATGCTCTGTCCTGAAGTTGCTGTAGATATGCCTAACACACATTCTGTGCTCAGCTGTTGGAAGCAATGTCTCAATTGCAGGTATTATACCTTTTTGCTGTTTCATCTTCTCCATTTCTACTTCATACTAGGGAATGGTAGTTGCTCTTGCCGCAGCCCAGAGAATGTTTTTCAGTGCAAGTCCAACATGCTCTGTCTTGAAGTTGTTGTAGATATGCCTAACACACATTCTGTGCTCAGCTGTTGGAAGCAATGTCTCAATTGCAGGTATTATACCTTTTTGCTTGT